GTGGGCTTCGATCCATCGGAGATGAACCCGTACTCCAACAAGCTGGTGATCATGGACGAGGCCCCCACAGCGATGCCCTGGTTCGTGATGCCCGCAGATCTCTCCCTAGTGGAGGAGAGGAGGCGGGAAGAGACGGGAGGGAAGCGGGAGGAGAGGAAGAGGAGGATGAGGATGAGAAGGGGAGGAGGGGGATCAGGAGGCAGGTGAGAAAAAGGAGAGGGGGAGGCGGAGCAGGAAAAGAGGAGGAGGAGAAGGAGGAGGATGAGCAGGAGGAGGAAGAGGAGGAGGAGGAGGGAGGGAGGGAGGGAGGGAGGGAGGGGAGGAGGAGGGGGGAGGAGGAAGAGGGAGTACCTCTTGCCACCCTTCTTCCTTCTTCTGCTCCTCGGCTTTCTTTCAGGTTCCACTGGGAATCGAAATCCCCTATCAAGGGTCGACAGCACTGGTCTTTCAGCTGCCAGGTGGACCGGCTTCCAGACGAAACGCAATCACTATATCCTCGTCTACCCTCCTCTACTCTCTCCCTCCTTCCTGTCCCTCCGTCATCTCCTCGTTGTTCGCTTACTGCTGTTTTTCGCCTCTCCCTGCTCCTTCTCCTCCTTGCTTCCTGACTCCCTCCCTTTCGCCCCCTTCAGGCTCACAACCTGGCGCGGCCCACGATGAAGTACCAGCTGCAGCTGGACTGCCTGGCCGGCCACCTGGCGCTCGCGAAGGACGCCCGCCTGCCACGCGGTGCCCCCCCCCCTTCTTCTCGGCCCTCCTCCCTTTGGTCCCTGGCCCCCTCCTCCCTCCCCGCTGTCCCCTCTCCCTGTTCTCCCTGTTCTCCCTGCCCCCTCCCCCCTCCCCCCTCCGAAGAGCCGGGGGGGCACCCGAGCGGGCCCCCACCCCCCGCCACCAGAGGGGGACCCCAGGGCGCTGGGGCTCTGGCCCCCGGGGGGTGCCCCGCGGGCAGCCGCTGGGACACCGTCTCTTCGAGGACCGGCCCGGGGGGCACTCCTCCTGGCCTGGCTGCCGTACCTAGTCTGGAGGGGCAAAAACGGAAGCAGGGGCGGCCCAGCCGGGGGGGAGGGGAGGGGGAGTGAGGGGAAGGAAGGGGGGAGTCTAGGACTCCCAGATGGGGTTGGAGTAGATGGGGTCGGAGGATCGCGCCGCATCGCCGATGTTTCGCCGATGCTGCTCGATGTGGATCCCGATTTGCTTCACATCGACGTGGCCGATGCATCGCCGACGTCGACGATGCATCGCCGGTGCATCGCCAATACATCGCCGATGCATCGCCGACGTGTCGGCGATCTGGCGCGATCCTCCGACCCCATCCACTCCGACCCCATTTAGGAGGCCTCTAGGGAGGGCGGAGTCCTCCACAGCTACACAATCTGAATACTGCTCTCCTATCTCCCCTGGTGACGTCCGGGAAATGTCCGCCCCACCTCTCCGCGCACGCTTTTTTGCATAGGATTCTCGGGAGTTCGGTTCTCGCTGGGTTTTTTTGTTCAACATGCTGCTCTCGCTGAAGCGTTGGCCTCCTTTTCGGGCTACCGGTCGTTCCGAATCGTGCGCCCGCTGCAGGACTGGCCTCATTTCCGCGCTTCCGCTCGTCCCGAATCGTGCTCCCATTGCAGCACTGGCGTCATTATTTCCAGCGCCATGCCACGGCATTGTTTTCGGTCCTTCCACATGGACCCTAGAAAATGGCCTCCCTAACAAAAACCATCGGAAGTGATTCCACATTCAGCGTCGATTCGTTAATTTTTCTGGGCCGCAGAAGCCTCCCCAATTTGCGGCGTTGCCACGCTATGCTATGTCATGCTACGCGTTGATCTTCAACACCATGCTATACCATGTGATGCTATGCTATGCTGTGACATCAGATTATGCGAATAGAGAGGAGATCTACGCCATGGTAAGGGATGGGAGGGAGGGGTAGGACGTCAGATATGACACGAGCACACGTAGCTTGTCTCTCCTCCCTTCTCCCTCCCCCTCCTCCCTCCTGGGGGGGGAGGCTCGCACCTTTTCCCAGGCTGTAGAGCGGGCTTACCCACAGCATTTCCGTGTGATTTCGGTGCACCCTTCACACGTTTCGAGCCAAAGTGGGAACTCCACCTACGACTTCAGAGCGGGCGCACCTATAGCATCTTCGCCTCATTTCGGCGCCCCCCCCCCCACGCCTTTCGGACCCCTATCGGGTGCCCCACCTGCGGCCTCAGAGCGGCCGTCCCATACGGCATACGCGCCTCGTGTCGGCGCACCCCTGGGACATTCCGTGCCACACATGAGGCTCCACATACGACTCCAGCGCGGGCGTCCCTATCAGTGCGTCCCCGCCTCATTTTGGCGCACCGCTCCCGCGCTCCGTACCCCCACGGCGAGTCCCACCGGCATCGAGCTCCGCGCGCGGCTCCAGGGCGGATTGCCTTGTAGCATCTCCGCGCCATCTCGGCACACACCTCACGTGCTCCGTGCCCCGCCAGGAACTCCACCTGTGGCATCAGAGGTCTCCGCGCACGTCTTGGCGCTTCCTTCGAACAGAACCCGTCCAGAAGAGAGCTCCACGTATGACTACGGTGAGACAAGTTCCGATCGTTTGTCGATTCTGACCGTTCGTGCTGTCTCCTGTGCGAGGGGCCCTCGAACTCCTTGTTTCGGCCACGACAGCTGCCCGAGGTATCCGCGATCTTATGTTGCCGGCAATGGCTCCCGCGCGAGAGGTCAGCGTATTCATGACTTTGCACTTGGCATCGCTCGGACGTGTGCATCCTCCCCTCGGCGAGGACCATCTAGGAACATCCTTGATCATTTGGCGAAAAAGCCACGCACGAAGCCGACAAAAACACAGGGAGTGGACGTCCGAGCGATGGCCAGTGCACGGGCTGTGCGGGGTGTGACGTCGGCGGGCACAATGTGTTGTCATAAGTATGCCTCTTCCACAGGACATGGTCGGGCCCCGGAGCCCCGGAGTCGACCTCACAGACCACCCTTCAGGTGATAAGTTTTTGTTGGCGTGGGTGGGTGAAATGGGCGCAGCCGTCGGTTTGTGATTTGGGTTTCGATCGGATTCGCAATGCATCTATCTCTCGACCTCGCTATCTGGCGATCTCACCACCTTGCGGGCGATGCCATTATCCATCTATCGACCTCACTGTCTACCCGTCGATCGCCTATCGGCCACACTGTTCGTAGATCTACCGATTTCGCTTTGTATCGGCTTCGCTACTTTTCGCTCTCAGTAGCCATCGGAGCTTCTTGGGGCCTTCTCGGCCACCACTGGGCCGTCCTGGCCCCCCCCCCCAGCGGGCCCGCGACTCGGCCTTCCCGGATGTGCTCACGGCATGCTGGACCAGCTTACGCTGTGCCGGACCAGCTGGCTTGCGTTGTGCCAGGCCAGCTCGCTGGCTGTGCTGGTGCAGCTATTAGGGGGCCACCTGCGAACCCCACCCCTGCCCCCCACGATTTCTGAGGGGGAGGGTGGGGTTCGCTTCGCTCGGGGGGGTAAGGGTAGGGTTCGCCTCTGGCCCCCTAGCGGTGTGGAGGTGCCTCGCCTCCGGCTCACCCCGCCTCTGGCGGAGGCCCGCGCACGGCGGCGGGAGCATGGACTGGCGACCGCGCTCCGCCGGCGGATGCTCTGCGGGAGGCGGCGGAAGGCGAGAGGCCGGCGTGGGGACTTCTGGGCTCGGCGCGGGAGCCTCGAGACGGGGGTCAACGCAGACGGGGGTCAGCCACGGCACCTCAAACGACGCGAAGATCGGGGCAAAATCGGATCGGGATAACTCGAAATCTCTGAGGATCGGCGGGTTTGGAGGATGTATTGGGCGCCGCGGCCGCTCCAGAGCGTTCCGGAACGCTCTGAGAGCGCTCCGTAACGCTCTGGAGCGATTTATCCCGATCCTAGCCCTGTTTTACGGGGGTCAGCCACGGCACCGGATCTTGCAGGGTCCTGCGAAGACCCCCTCTGGCTGACCTGGGTGAGCGAGCCGCTCGTGGCTGCGAGGCGGCCGCGCCTGTTGGCTGACCCGGGTTTGCGAAGACCTGCGTTGCAGCTTTTGTTTTCTTGCATTGCAGTTTTTGGTTTCCTGCTGACCCGGGTCTGGGTTGACCCGGGTCAGAAGATCCCCGACTCGGGGTGTCTGGAGCAGAGCCCGTGCGGAGCAGACGCTGATTCGGAGGTTGATAGGCCTCCGACCCTGACACGTCGATGTCAGTGAATTGTCCGTCTCCGGTTCTCGCGGGGGCGCCGCGGCCGGCATTGTCCAGGCTTGCGCCCGCCAGGTTTGGGCCCGAGGTCGTTTTCACGAAACCATGTCTTCCTAAAGGGCTGTGCGTAGCCCGCCTGGCTTTTCACCGGAAGAGGCTCGCTCTTGACCCGCAGACCCCCCAACAAACATACGAAAGGGGTCCCTGGCCATCCCCGACGGATCAGGAGCATCGAGGAGAAGCCACGGCACACACGCAGAAGCCCGCGGAGCTCCGCGCGGACTTTTCCCGGATCGGAGCGCCGGGCCCCCCCTCGAGAAGTCTATGATGATGCTATTTCTCTGTTGGTTGTGGTTTCTATCAGAGCGTGAATTACCTACCCCGCTTTCGCTTCCAGGCAAAACCAAGCCATACCACGCGCCTCCTCGTCAAGCGGCCTGACCAGTATAGGCTGCAATTTGGCATGGTTTGGTATCTCTTGGAAGCGAGGGTGGTCAAAAGCGAGGGAGGTTTGTTTTCCTCCTATTCTAGCAACCAAGTCTCGAGCAGGTGCAGGCGCAGGCCGCAGTCTGCGGCTCCGCGCCGTTCTGCCCGCGGCGCCCCTCTCAGACGTGCGGCGCCTGGGCTCTCCCAGGGCGTGGGCCCCCGGATGGCTAGGCACTCGGCCCTCGACCAGAAGAAGATGCCCGGGCCCTCGTGGAAGCTTCCCGCCAGGAGCTGGGAGGAGGATCGAGGATCGGTGGCCACATACGTGAGCCCTATCCCCGCCCCGCACGACTTTGAGGGGGGGGGTGGGGGTTGGAGCTCCCGATCGGAGGGTCCCCCACCCCCCACTTAGAAACCGCGGCTGGTGGGGGTGGGGTTCACACGTGGCCACCTAGAGAAACGAAGGGCGGCCATTGGGAGGTTCCCCGTCGTCGCGGCCGGATATCCGCCTCGGAGTCCTGGCCAGGACGCACCCCAGACCCCCGATGCCATTCGGGGGCGGCAAAGAGGAGGGTGATGACTAGGGGGGGGGGATATCATGCGCCTCTTCTTATTTCAATGCCTCCCTGGCCCCCGCCCCTGCCCCCTGGGACGCGCACGTGCTGCTGGCCATGATTTGTGCCCCCCCCCCCCCTCCTGGGCGCCCTCCTCTTGGACGCCCCCGACGAGTCGTGTGTTTTTGGTTGCGACGTAGATCCTCAGACGTCCGGACACCTCCTCTGGGACAGGAGGGAGGAGGGAGGAGGGAGGAGGGAGGAGGGAGGAGGAGGAGGGGGAGGGGAGGAGGGGAGGAGGAGGAGGAGGGAGGAGGGAGGAGGAGGAGGAGGAGGGGGGGAGGAGGAGGAGGAGGAGGAGGAGGGGAGGAGGAGCAGGAGGAGAGGAGGAGGAGGCAGGGAGGAGGAGGAGGAGGAGGAGGAGGAGGAGGAGGAGGAGGAGGGAGGCAGGAGGCAGGAGGAGGAGTAGGGGAGGAGGAGGAGAGGAAGGAGGAGGAGGAGGATGAGGAGGAGGAGGAGGAGGAGGAGGAGGAGGAGGAGGAAAGGGAAAAGGAGGGGTCCTGAAGCCCGGCGAGCGCCCCCAGAGGTCGAGGACAGCCACGGCCCGTCCGCCGTGGCCTCCTCCGCGGCGCGAGCACGCCCGTGCTCGGCCGCCCCTGGCCCGCAGGGCACGGTGCTCGCCGGCTTCACTGGCACGCCGGTGGGGAACGACGCCGCGGAGGGCCGGGAGCTGCTCGACGTCATCAAGGGGAAGGCTGCCGTGGGGCGCGGGTGCCAGCGGCTCGTAGCCCAGATGCTTGATGAGCGGCCTGTTTTCCACCGCCACCACCAGGAATTTTTTGGGGGGGAAGGAGGCGGAGGAGGAGGAGGAGGAGGAGGAGGAGGAGGAGGAGGAGGAGGAGGAGGAGGAGGAGGAGGAGGAGGAGGAGGACGAGGAGGAGGAGGAGGACGAGGAGGAGGAGGAGGAGGAGGAGGAGGAGGAGGAGGAGGAGGAGGACCCCCTCCCCCTCGAACTTATGGTGGTGGTGGTGGTGGTGGAAAACATGCCCACCATGGCTGTCTGACATCCTCGCACCACAACGCGGATCCTGGCGTCGCGATTTTCTCACACGGGGCGTCTTCGCCCGACTTCGGGCCCCGGGGACCATCACACAGACCGGTCCAGCTCGAATAATGCTGCAGACAGATGGGGTCTGGGGCTCCAGTCGTGATTTGTATCGCGATGCTGCGACTTTCTCGCAAGGTCAGATCTCAGGGGAGGCAGCCTTCCTCGCGCCGTGAAGTGGCTGTCTGGCATCCTCGCGCCGTGAAGAGGTCGCGACGTCTTGTGCGTTGGCTGTTTTCGGCGTCCGTGGGCCCTTGCTGGGTCTTCAGGCCGTCAAAGCGCGACTCGGGATCAAAAGCTGGTCCCTGGGAGGGGCTCTGGATCTCTGGGGATCCACGGCGTGAAGGATTCATGACGTCGGATGTCTGGGTTCTTCATAGCCATGGATGTCACCCCCACCCTCCGACCATCACGGGGGTGATGCAGACGTGCCGAATGTCTAGGCCTCCCAGATGGGGTCCGAGTAGATGGGGTCGGAGGATCGCGCCGCATCGCCGATGCATCGGCGATGCGGCTCGATGCGGAGCCGAGGTTTCTCCGCGCAGGCGGCGCCGATGGCACTGCCGACGTCGCCGATGCATCGCCGACGCAGCGGCGATGCATCGCCGACGCATCGGCGATGTATTGCCGATGCATCGGCAATGCGGCGCGATCCTCCGATCCCATGTGCTCGGACCCCATCTGGGAGGGCTCTATAGAATGGGTGCCGCGACTGGGGGTGGGCAGCGGCCCACGCGCGAGCGCCAGCCTCGGAGGCCGCCGAGGCCTCGCCCCCGAGCCCCAGTCATGGCACCCCGCCCGCCAGGGATGCCCCCGCGTGCCGCCGTCGGGGGCGCGGTGCCATTTTGGGCCATCGGTGGGGCATGCAGGTGGGCGGGCAGGGACGAAGAGGAGGAGGAGGAGGAGGAGGAGGAGGAGGAGGAGGAGGAGGAGGAGGAGGAGGAGGAGGAGGAGGAGGAGGGTACGACACTGACTGGAGCGGACGCGCGGTGCACTGTCCGGCACAGAGGTCGCGAGAGAGCGGCGGCGTGCCGTCCGCACGAGCCTGGCAGGGTAGCTCGCCACCCCACCGGCACGGATCTCGGGCGGCAAACCCCAGGCACAGCGCGGTGGGTAGGCTTAAGGCAAACCCCAGGCACAGGGTTTCGGGAAAGTGGGTAGGCTTAAGTCGGGCCTTTCCCCCGACAGGGGGATTTTCGATGAAAAATAAGAAATACCCCCAAAATAGTCAAACAATAGTCTGGGGACTATTTTGGGGGCATTTTTTTTTTGCCTCTTTGGGGTATTTTTTATTTTTCGTGGAAAATCCCCCTGTAGGAGGACACGCCCGACTTAAGGGTAGGCCGCGGGGAGCACACCGAGGGGGTGCTCCGCTCTCGCGCCTGCTGACCCCCAACTCCACGGTTGGAGGGCTGGCTCCGATGGAGCCTGACCCCCATCAACCTTCTGGGCCGTCGGCACGAAGGGGTCGAGGCGCTGGGACTCGCTGGGGGTCTCCACGCGCCTCGTCCGAGGGATGAGATCCCGAAAGAACAGGGCGGCGGTTCCTCTGGGCCCTTTCGCTCAGCTGGCGGGCAGGGTTGGAGGAAAGGCAATATACTAAGATCATGTCGGGCGTGTCCCCCTACAGGGGGATTTTCGACGACAAATAAAAAAATACCCCAACAAACCCCAAAAAGGTAAACAAATATCTAAAAAAAGTCCCCAGACGATTTTTTGATTATTGTTAGATTATGTTTATGTTTTTTTCTTCGTCGAAAATCCCCCTGTAGGGGGACAGGCCCGACTTAATACTAAGAGCTGACCTGCCGTCCCAGTGGTGCACATCCACAAGACACGCAAAGGCACACACACACACACACACTCCCAGGGGCCACCCAGAGCCTGTGGCCCCTGGCGGCTTGAGACGGAGCGGGCCCGTTTGGCGGCAGGGGCTCAGCAGGGTTAGTGGTGCTGCCTAGGGAGGGCCTGGGGCGATGAGAGCCAACCCGCCTCCTCTCGTCGGGGCGGAAGGCAGGGCCCGACCTAGGGGGTATGACGGGCCTGCCCAGGTCTTCTGCGGCGCTGGCCTGTTCAGCTCCAGTAGCGTCCCGAAGAAAGGATATGTGTTCTGAGCCAACCCTCCGCCTCACGTTGCGTTCATTGTCCTGCGACTCGCTGCGTCGACGGCTTCTGTCACCACGCGCAGGGCTGGGAGAACACACAGTCGCAGGACCACTTTCGGACACACTGGGTGGTGGGTGGGAGACCTCGTACGACTGCGAACCGAGCGAACGAAGTCGGGAAGAGAGGCAGCAGGCAAAGCAGTCCGAGCAGGGCAGGCAAGGAGGGAGAGACGACGACGGGTCTCCTCACGCTTAGAACCCTTCTTGCAGTACAAACACCTCCATATGCTCCGTTTGGGCACGGGAGCAAACACGTGCCGTCTGTGGGCCGATTGCTCAATTTCGACGGGAACGGGCCGAGCTGGCCTGCAACGCTTGGGCCGCCTCTGTGGCCTGGTTGCAGTACGGTGGCCGTTGAAGAAGGCTTGAAGGGCGTGAACACCCCACTTCAAAACACGGATGTACTGATTGTGCCCTAGCCTCGTGGCCTGACAGGAGGACCAAGGGGCGGCGTGCAAATCTCTGCCGCTGCGGGCAGCGAGATCAGCCCACCTGTTGCCTACGGCATCATTGTGTTGACCACGATGATGCCCTTTGATGAGGACCACCCCGACATCGACCCCAACCTCGCCCAGGTCCTGCAGCTTGGCCCATATGCGTTCCCACAAATCGACGTTCATCCGCCGCGGGGCACAACGCCAACTGGGTCCGAGGGCCAGGCCGTCCAGGAGGCCTTTGCAGTCCGTGTGGATCACAACAGGAGGAAGGCAAACCAAAAGAACCTGGAGGAAGGCAAAACGTTCGTCCCTGGGCGAGGTGTGTATGGGGCCAGGGAGCGCTCCAAAAACTAAAATTTCGACGCCGTGCCGCATGTGTTCCCGAAGTTGACAGAAGCTCCACCCAGCTCTAGCAGCATCTGGCCAGTACCACATCTTGGAACATGCCCCGTCCGTGTATTTGGCCCCTGTAGTTCCGTGTGGGCTACCGTATTGCATATGCCATCCGCAAGAGCCGTCGCGCATCGGGAGCGACGGAAAGCACGACCGACGGACGAGCCCACGAGCCCAGAACGTGTTGTCGGGTGTGTTGGCAGGGAATCCAGCAAAGTCGATCACGCCACAAATACCGCCCCCTCGTAGTCGCATGGTGAGGGCAGTCCCACAATATGTGGTATAACTAGCAGCCCGTCTGCCCACACTTCGGGCAGGAGCTGTCGTCATGGTAGCCGCAAACCGCCAGTCGGGCAGGAGTCCAGAGGCCTCCACCTAGCCATGTTCGGAGCAGGCCTGCCTCTTTGTGATTGGGATGCCACGTTGCTCGTGTCTCCTGCTCGTCTGCGTCAGCGTCGTCGCGTGGTGGAGCGAACGGCACATCATCGTCATCGTCAGCGTCGGTGGGATCGGGCACTGGCACTGTCTGAAGGAGATGTGTGATGGGCTCCATCCAATAACCTATAGGTTCACGCGGTAGGGGGGCTCTCCAGGGAGTGGGGATCGCCGAGACCACCGTTCCCAGAGTCGCCTGGCCACATCTTGAACACGGGCCGCCCTCTATCCACATAGCTGGTACAAGCTCGTAAGAATGATGTGCGCGGTCCTACACGGAGAGAAACAGGTTTA